GTCGGATTTCACTTTAGGCAAACTAGTTCCTTAAGAAACTTGAACTTGAGGTGTTGACGCCTCAAAATCACCAAACGGCGTCGATTTAGGACGAAACTTGGCACACACGACCATTTAGGCACGAGAGACTTGTGGGAGAAGATGGGGCTCGAATCGGGTTCCTGGTTTGGGAGTTAGAGTCGGATTTCGGTCTAGTCAAAATTATTTACTAAACTATCTTTCTAATTATATAGTATTCAATTTTTTTTTTTATATTTTTCTGTAATTAAAATATTAACACCATTATATGGTTATTAATTATTTTTATCTCGTTTTTTTCAGATATTTCCTGAGTAGCAGTTTGCTTCTTGTGGAATGCGGGCGTATAAAGATTATGACCAACTTTTGTTTTTGTAACCCACGAAAGAATCAAGATGAAAACTTTTGGTTTTGATTTTGATTTATGTTATTTAAATTTGTGAACAACATTATGTATGTATTATGCGACATTATGTAGTGGCATAATTTTTATTGTTATGAATTTTTATTTATGTATTGTTATGAATGGAACAATATTATGAATTTTCATCATGTGCCAATTTTTGTTTATGTATGTATTTATATTATTATGTAATTATTGATTTTTTTTTTAGTTATTTTTCATTTAATACAGATTATTTTTATATTTTTAATAATTTTAATATAGGTTTTTTTTTTAATAATTTTTTTTGAGATGGCAGAACACCCGTCTCAAAAAGTAAATTGAACTAGGCTTTTTGCGACGGCACCTATACTGTCGCAAAAGGTAGAGAATTGAATTGAAAAATGAAGCCTTTAGCGACGGCATCACTGCCGTTGACAATAGTCATTAGCGACGGCTCAGGTTGCCGTCGACAATAGTCATTAGCTACGGCACTTTTAGCGACGGGTATTTTTGCTGTCGCAAAAAACCCTTTTAGCGACGGCAATACTGTGCCGTCGCAAAAAAACTTAGATTTCCCTCCATTATTGGCGACAGAAATTTGCCGTCGCAAAAAAGAAATTTTCCCGTCGCAAAAACAAAGGCGACGGCACTTGCCGTCGCTAAAACCCTTTTGCAACCCCTTTTGTTGCGACCCCCACTTACCGTCGCAAAAAGTCATTTTACCGTCGCAAAAACTTTTTGAGACGGCGTTTGGAGTATTTGCGACGGCGTTTTACCGTCGCAAAAAATAATTTTTTTTGTAGTGTTCCTAGATATATTAGGTATTGATTTCCTAGATATATTTGTATTGTCATAGTTTTTCTCAGTATATATATACAAGCCTTCTATTGTATAGGATTAAATACAATACATATTATTTCCTCTGTCTCTACAATTGTAACAAACTTGACTGACAAAGCGACTCAAATCTTGGTTAAATCCAACTCGAATCTTGATTAAATCCAATGTAGCTTTCCAATTAGGTTGTGCACCATTGAACATGCATTCATTTATCAAATTCCATACAGTCCACATTATCGCAAAACGAATAACCTCCCAAATCACCCTTTCTTTCTTGAGCAACCTTGCACTCTAGGAAAATACACCTTTAACTGCTACAAAATTAGTTGCCAAGTATATTTTTTAGTCGCTAAAAGTCAATGGCGACTAAAGATTTTAGTTTCCTAGTTTGTCGCCGAAGGCTTGTCGGCGATAGTGTTGGCTACTAAAAATTTGTTGGTCACTAATTCTCTTCTCTTCAGTTACTAAAATGAACTTGGTCCCTAATTGACATTTTTTCAGCGATGAAAGGTACGTATATGATGCAACTTTAACTCCTTGGCTTTGTCTATCAATGTAATTCTCTTTGTACCTTTTTTATTTCATTAATATACTCTTTTTTTTTATTGATAAAAAAAAAATTTACTCCAGCATTTATGTTGGTATCCACCAATCATAGGAAAATAATCTACCTTTAACATTAAGATAGACTTCAAACTGGGCCTTTGTAATTTAATGTCTTCGGTAATAATGTTATTGTAAATCTTAAGTTGTCCAATATTTCTTGGAATCATATGAAATCTTATTTTTCTCATAATATTGTTAAGTATTTTTCATTTTAACTTCTTCCAGTTGAATAACATATATTATCAAATCACTATTACTATATCACGTTTTGACACTTTGCATTTAGAAAATGGCGCTATAAGCTTTGGAAACGCCACAATTAGATTAGACAATATTTATTGTCAAATATCTGTCAGTAGGAGGATTTAGTAAATTTCAATTCGTCAACGTTAACAGTGACGTGATGTCACATGCCATTTATTTGTTTGCTATCATAGTTTACTTGTGGTTGTGTTTCTAGAAACACCAATTTTTTCTTTTCTTTTCTTTTTTATTTTTAATTGAGTGGAATTAAAAAAATGAATCAAAAAAAAAAAAAAAAAAAACAAAACACTCATACTAGCATTTCTGTATTTGAGTTATTGAATTTGAAACTAAAATAGAATTTCTACATTTAACACTTTTAGAAGCTTGCAGCAGGGCAAACTATAAACTAAAATGCTAAAATCAAAATTTGACACATTATTTTGTATTATTTTTTTTCTTATGTTTTATGTTTCTATTTTACTACTATTTATATATCATATAAATACTGTTCCTCTATTTTAAAATAATTGTTGGTTTCCCCTTTCTTGTAATTTAATTATTGAGATAATAAACCAATATAAGTGAGTTAGTGGGCTTCACGAAAATCATGTCTATTTGGAAAAAAATTAGGTGAGACTAGCATTTGTCATGACGGTTTAGATCACTAATCCTATCCCCTAAGAGTAGTGGTTAAAACTAAAAAAACTATTTTGCTTTCTACTAGACAAAAATAACAAAGACTAATACCTTCACACTAGTAATTTCATCACACACAATATTACTATAATCTTAATCCCAATTTTCATAATCCACCAATAAGCATAGCTTCAGGTCCTTTTGTTGGATCTGTACAATACCAAAATAGATTTGGAGTAAATATTTACAAAAAACAAGTGGCAATGTTTTTGTTACTTACACTTCGCGTGAGAATCGGATAAACAATATTAGAAAATAATGAAAATTTTACATTTCGTTTTATTTTCTCTTCTCTTCTTCCTCCTTTCTTTTACATCCTCTTCGTTCCTTACCTCTGCAACTTGCTGACCGTCATCACCACCACCCCTCCGCAATCACACTATCCCTTTCTCACTGCCCTCATCCACAACCACCAAATTATGATTCTCGAGTATTAACACAATTACATACACTCATTAATTAATCACAGTATAACGTCTAACATTGGAACACCCATACATACACTAATGCATCAAACATTTGAAACCAATTTTTATCATTTTTTTTTAAAAACATACTTCAACAAACATGTTTAAAACATCCAGTGATACTAGAAAGAGTGAATTAGGTAGAAGAAGAGACCACAAATTTTGAATACAAAAAATCCCAGATTTCACTCAGTTTTCATCATAGTAAATACACTATGATTTAATATTGTTAACACAAGTACTGTAGTTCTCTAAGAGTGAATTGAATACAAGAGAACACAAACTTTGAATATGGAAACTGGAGAATACAACTATATTGGAGCACCCATATACAAATTTTGATACATATCTCACTTTTATTACTTTTTGTCATATAACACATTTTAACAAATATTTTTTGACTAATACAATGTGAATGGTCTAAGAATGAATTAGATACAAAATGCAACACAAATTTTGAATACTACGACTTTTTGTCGTATAATGCACTTTAACAAATATTTTTAATACATATCCAATGAGAATGCTTCCAAAGTGCCAAAATTGAGAGAACAAGACCAATGACGCATTTAAAAATGCATCATGCTGAAGCTGGCAGGTACTAAGGATGCCATAACGCCCGCAGTGGCCCGCCCTTTTCAAATTTGAGTCCTGCTAGTCAAACTCAATGTCATATATTCACTTCATATAAACACACTAATGCGTGCAGAAAATTGTGAATGAGAGTGAAGATAGAGAGCCGTGTATAGTGAATGACAATTATTGATTTAGTAACGTAGGAGAGGGTTCAAGAAAGGAGTTAGAAAATTCGAAAATCTTCAAAGATCCTTGAAGAACAATTTCGAATTCTCTAGAAAAAATGTAAGAGGCTTAGATTCTTCAATGGTCTCAACTCAATAACACAAGAGTAAAGGAGATGATGGAGATAAGAGATTGGGTGAAGAAGAAGGCAAAATGGCTAGAGAGAGAATAATGGCAAGGCTCTCCCATGGATCTCCCACTTTCACTCTCAAAGTTGATAATGGAGATGGGAAATTAGTTCTTTCCCAAGAGTCATCTCTCCCAAAAATTCATCCATTGTAAAGTTATGGGTGGGTGCTATTTATAGGCACCTCATGATGTAGGATGGAGCCCATGTGCAAGGCACATGGGGAATATTCTCTCTAACCACCTTGTCCGAGGAGGTGACCTCTCCGAGGAGGTGACTTCTCCGAGGAGGTGAC